AGGAAAAATGCTTTCTGCAAATATTAAGCAACACTAGCTAATCTTTTATATTTCCTCTGAGTAACTTCGATAAAGAAACCAATACATACATGAAAGCAAGTCCAAAAATGAAAATATCATTACTATAGTATTTCATTCAAGCCAACAAGTAGAAATACAGCATAAAACTGATATTCTGGACACTGACAGCTTTACTGCCTCAATTCACAGAGAATATCACCAAACAATAGAACTTGCAGCTACCTGAACCTCAGAGAATGTAATTTCATTTATTCATTTCAATGACATTTTTACTAGACTATAGCTTCATGTAGATTAGTCAGACACATGAAAAACCACATATTAGCTGAGGTGAAGCTGTGATGACTGCAGTTGTCTTAACAGTGTCAATCCAAACTTTAGATTAATGTAATTTGCTAGCTTGAAAAGACAGAGGTATAACATAGATCTCGTATATCACCAAAGTAATAAATAATTAGTGAGCAGAACTGAGTAAAATGGCAGCTTGAACACAACCCCAAATTTTGAATCTTGATGCAGAAGGCAGCGATCAGAATGACACATCTTTCTGCCTTGAATGATAAAACAGCTTTCTCACAACCTAACACACAGCACCATCTGGCATGAACTGAGGAAACTAAGAACTTCTGGAAGAGAAACACAAAAGCAATTTTGTTTCTTCAGAATTCTCCAAGATATTGACAGAAGTTTTTCAGAAAAACCATTTGACTGCAAATGTGGCTCAGTGAACCTGCCTCCTGAAGACGTGTGTGCAGCTAATAATCTTTACAAAATGTTGTTGAACTAACTGGGCACGGGATGGGCTCTGTCAGAGTTAAGACAGTGCAGGTGGAAAGTCCTCTGTCTACCAAACTGGCTGGATTTCCAAACATCTCAAATTTCTTACTGGGAATTTTAGGAGCTCAGGATGCATTTCTTCAGCAGAGCTCAGCAGGCTCTTTTCAGTAGTTACTCACAAGAAGAGTGACTACAAGCACCCAGTTCAGCTGTTCTTTGAGCAGTACCAGCACAGCAGCACGGCTGTTTGCTGGGGAGTGGGACAGAGAGGGACAGAGAGGGACAGAGTGGGACAGAGAGAATGGGACAGAGTGGGACAGAGAGGGACAGAGAGGGACAAAGTGGGACAGAGTGGGACAGAGAGGGACAGAGTGGACAAAGAGAATGGGACAGAGTGGGACAGAGAGAATGGGACAGAGTGGGACAGAGTGGGATAGAGAGACTGGGACAGAGTGGGACAGAGTGGGACAGAGAGGGACAAAGTGGACAAAGAGAATGGGACAGAGTGGGACAGAGAGAATGGGACAGAGAGGGACAAAGTGGGACAGAGAGGGACAAAGTGGGACAGAGAGGGACAAAATGGGACAGAGTGGGACAGAGAGGGACAGAGAGAATGGGACAGAGTGGGACAGAGTGGGCAGAATGCTCCAAGCCCACTGCCCGCCCTGTGGAGCTGGGCTCTCCCAGGCACTGCTGGGAGCTGCAGTACTCAGGGGCTGGCCGGAGATGTTTGCAATATAAACACAAATGGAGCCTCCTGCAGTCCAGGAAACATCAGACTCCTCTGCTGACATCAGCACAGATTTATTTTAGCATTGCTTGTTGAAAGTGACTTTTAATGCAGACTGTTTTCTAAATGATCCTTAAAAGACACTCCTTTCTTTCTCATCACCTTCACCTAAGGCAAGAACATCCACTAGCATTGATCAATTTGCTGCTAGTTTTCATTAATTTTACCCTCCCTAAGGGTGGTGAAGCTTTGGTGCCAGCTAATTAAAACCTATTTAGGGATGCTCAGTGCACTTTATCAGACCAGAATTAGCTTTGCTGCTTTAATGAAGACTACAGTTTTCTCTGTTATTACCAATTAAATGTTATTATATCATATTGCATTGTATTTGTATTTCATGGCAGAGATATAGATGGCTTTAGAACCACTTCTCTGGATTGAGGTACATACAAAGATGTCACATTTAGTAATTATTTAACATCTCTTTAAATCCTTTCACTTGGGTAAATATATATATATAATACACTAGCATATTAGTGAAGTACTGGAAGAAGCTGCCAGCTTTATGCTCCCTCTAGGGAAGTACCAAGTAAAATGCATTAATGAAAAATTGTGAATGTCTGGTAATGAATATTATTTATGTACAACAATTATTCAAAGTGGATGAGCATTCACCACCTTGAACTCAACTGCTTCACTAACAAATACTCTCAGAAAGAACATATGTTCCCCAGATTCTTAACACTCATGCAAGGTTAATTACCCAGTGTGGACAGCCCATATCAGAAGGCATTTTGTACTGCTGTAGAATTAAAAAATGCATTATAAAATAAAAAAAAAACCCTGTATGTTCAAAGATACTCAGAGGCAATTCTTATTTCTTCCATGCATCAGTAATAAATCATTCAATACCAAAGCTGTGGATTTTGGACCTACACCCAGTGAAGTCAGGGATAAAGCTCCCATGTCAGCACTACAGGACCAGAGCTTTTCTGCAGTAGAGAAGTAACTGCAGCACCTACCTGTTACCTACTTCTCACTTAATCCTTTAAAAACTAGAGCATCACAAGGATAAAATTGCTGAAAAGTCCCACTAATTACCTAAAAAGATTGTACATCAAAGAGTAGAAACAGAAAACTCATTAAAGGCTCGACAGACTAGAAATCTGCTGCAATCTTACTATGCATTATAGCATACACTGTACAGAAAGACAGTATTTTAGGATTAAACTAAAATAGATGTAGTTGCAATCCACTCAGTACATTTTAAAATATGAGTTGAAATTGGTTTCCTTCCAGAATTTTTGCTGGAAACATGTCGAACCAGACCTCTGTTCAATCTAATATTCCAAGCAAGGGTTGATGTTTCTCTGAGGAACTGAAGGAATATTTGGCTGAAGAACCCGAGTCTGTCTCAGCATCATAATAGCCTGGCACAATGTGTGAAAGTATTTTCATCACCCACAAATCTCCAGTGCTCTCCATTTACTGCTTCCACAAATGCCACATACCTCCAACAGTCTCACGACCCTCCTTAGAAACAGAAGACAGGTCCTGCAAATTGAAGATTTTAATGAAAATGAAACAGTTTCCAAACTGAAGTCCCTGATTACCAGGAAACTACAAGATGTTTTCTTGAGATACAGAAGGCATTGGTTGGTAATGCATCAATCATTTCCCTTGTTTCTGCATGACAAAATCACTAAATGATGTTAAAAACATCACAAAGTACTTGATGTGGAAAAGGAGGACTAAAAATGGAAGTTGCAGTAGATACAAGGATGTTACCTGGTTGCCACTGTGAGAAGTGGTGGGATTTTCTGTTGGTGTCAAAGGGACGCAGGTGCACAAACAATGTGAAGGGTCATGAGACAGGCTCATAAAAATTCATTGCTGTTGCAATGTGAAACTTAAGGACAAAGAACATGGGCCACTTTGACATTAGGCTGCTTAAGAACTTTGTTGTAAGCACTGAGAGAAATTCAATCTGCTTTTGACATGAAAAGAAGCATTTGTATTGTGTTAATTGCGTAACTATAAAAACTTGAGATGTGTTAATTTGTTGAAGAGGAATGGATTAGGCTAGAGAGTAGGGTACTTTGACATTGAATGATAAGATGTTTTCTTTCATAGGAAAAAGAGGAGATTTTTTCAAGGTCTAATCTCACAATAAGGATATTGATGAAGTAATGTAAATTTGCTGTGACCTGACTGACTCATAAATATAAACAAATTTATGTACAGCAACACAAAAATGTACCTGTGATCATATTTAGCTTGATTAATATGTGAACAGGATGACTTGGATTATTAAAGGTCATTTTTCAAGAATGGATCTCGTGTATATATTAGCCTCTGGTTATCAGTTTGTTTAGCTAAACTAAAGAAGCCATGATAACCTTGATACCTTTATGAGATATATGAGCTCCCTCCAACTCCAGAACCACAGCAGCAACATGTGCACTTGGTGTACAGGGGCAGGCTCCTCCTTATGCTCCAATAGTTTGAAAAATAGGAAAAATCAACTGTCACCAAGTTCTGGCAGTTTAATAATATAGTGAAACAAGTATGTTTAAGATAATAAGCCTTCCTACTTCAAAACCTAACTCAAAATTTCAGACTATATTAAGCTGTTGGTGAAAACCTGTATCTTTAATTTGGTCAGAATAGCAACAGTACTTTCCAACCTCAAATTCATGATGCACAAATTTAAAAATTACTATTAATGTACAGCAGTGATCTGGAAACTCCTTCCTAGTTAGCTCAAGTAAGTATGTGTGACAGGTGCTCTTCCATGCCAAAACACATGCGACCTGAATTTTTGCAGCTTGGTTACAAAATCTTAATTCCACAAATCCAGTTTCTGCTTTGAACACGAGCCCAGACAGTCCTCACACCTTCACCTATTACAGCCTCACTTGAGTAGCATAAATACACATTATCAAGTGTAGAAAATAGAATTTCAGCATTATACTGGTAAAAACCTAAATCTATTCCAGTATGTCTGATAACCTGTTTTCACCAAGAAACAGAAATAATGCATAACCATGAGGTCTGTGCTTGAAGAAAAGCTACAGTGAATCTCAATAGAGAAGAAAATGCAATATCCAGAATTATCCTGAGGTTGTGCATTTGGAAATGTTGTTTGTGTAGGATTATCCTCTTCAAATAAAATGTCAATTTAATCAATAGTAAATTGAGCTGAAAACAACACACAGCTTTGAAAACATTTCAGGAAGACATCCAATATTTTTGGGATTCAAGCCAACAGAAATGGAATGAACAGAAGGTAGCGTAGGTGGGGTAAATGGGGCCTAGCTGCTGCCTCATCAAGTGCTTATAACAGTCAAACCCGTATAACAATCCATTAAAAACATATCTGGGGACTCATTTAGTAGCTGACATCCCACATGGACTTTTCTCATGTATCTTTTGTCAAACATTATAATTGTTCCTCCCGTTTAAGACTCACCGGTCTTTTCCCGTCTCCTTCTTAAACACGGCATCGCAGTAACTCATGCGCTTCTCCGTTGTCACGTAGATTTTGGCAGTTGGGTAGCTGTCAACAGTTTTCTTCAGCATGTTGTACACAATGCCATTCCCATCCCTCCTCATGTTTCGAAAAGGACCCCAGATCACGTAAATGGTGCTGTTGGTTTCTTTGAAAAAGTACTCAGGATTCTTGAGCAGGAGAGGCACACTTGTGTGTGAGACCACTCTTATGGTTGTCCTCTTCCCAACATCTTCTTCATAGCCCTTTGTGGGAGCATTGTTCATCCTCCATATGCAGGAGGACTTGTCTATCTCAGTGCCCACCCTCTGGCCAGCCATCTGTCCCGAGTTTGAAACAATGGCACAGAGGTCACAGTCAAGATGTAGAGGCTGCAAGACAGGAAACAATAACATATATTGTAAGTTTTTCTCTGTAAAACATGAAGAATGAAAACTCAGTTAAAAGAAAAACAGGTATAGTACAACAAATTGATAGCAATGCTTCTCTTTAAAAAAACATAACTGCAATTCCCACGTGGCAGAGCTGCTCGAAAACTCTACCACTACAAATGCAAACCTTTTCAATGAAATAGAAAAGTTCCAATCTTTGCCTTTGTTCCCACCTTGCAAAGTCAGCTACACAGATAATAATTCTTTTTTTCCCCTTCTAAATGTTACTCTTTTCACTAAAAAACAAGGAAATAAAGAAACACATAGAAAGCAATATTTAGATCAATGGTGTCTCTTTTAACAAGGTGTTGTCAGCAATAGGAAAAAAACCTACTGAAAAAGTAATGCTGGAAATTTAACTGTACCTTAACTGTGTTTGTGTCTGAATGAACAATTCCCAAACTTGTGACAGAAGTCTAATGTGAAATGTATCTCTAAAAATGCAATCTAATAGTATGAAAATCCTGCAGCTGGAAAGGAGATGTGGACAGAGGAATATGTTGCTCTCTCCAGAGAGCAGTTATGATCCATGGAAAATGAGAGGTAGAGGGACTGGTGACACCTGAATTAGGAACTTAATCCTGAGAAAAATATAGTCAAAGACAGTATTTTGTGACCACGTTCTAGGGTGCTATTACTCCAGTATGGATTGAAAATAGAAAAAATTATCTAACAGAGATATAAGGATCCATTTGTCAGAGTATAAAGAATAAATGCCTTTTTGTTGTTTTGTACCTACAGACTAAAAGGAAATGCCCTCTATTTAAATTGGGTTGTATAAAGAGTTCAGTCAGAAATTGAAATCAAATGAAAACTAGATCAATTAAAAAAAACCCAAAAACCTACAGAAGATCATCCAGGTCAGAGATAACCTACAATTTTTTGTATGGTCACAAACTTGATCCTCTGTCATGCCAAGTGGGAGCCAGTGACCTCAGTTTAGTATTTTTCAGGAAAAATTCCCGTCACGTTCTTTGGACATTTACTCTGACAGGATGCTTGGTGCTTTTCTGATCAGACTTGTGGTTATTTCTCTTCAAAATCACACTTCATTTAGCTGATGTGGATGAATAGCCTGCCTACATTTGACCACTATAACCCTAGGATGCAATTGCTGACAAGAAACCGAATTCTTTGATAAGGGAGAATAATGCAAGGACAAGAGACAAACATCTGAAGAAAGCCAAACTGTAAGAGCTAAAATATCTCATCTTTGGGTGACAAATATTGTACTGAATTAAGGTGCATCCTGCATGACTTGTGCAGTAGAACTCACAATTTCAAAGCTTTAATTTCTCTGTTGTGATTGATTTGATTTCATTATGTGGCTGGTTCAGGAAAACATTCTTTCCTCATTTTGCCAGTAGCTAAAGATCCCTGATTGAATGCAAAAGCATTATCCAATGTTTCCTTTAAAGAACACCATGCATTTTTTATAGCTGGTATAGTTTTAGAGAGCTGTCCTGCATGGCTCTCTGACAGCAGGGATGAAATCCCAGGAGATGCAGCTGAACGGAGCAGTCTTTCTGTTTACTGCTTACTTACAGAAATACTCTCTAAGATACATTATGAGGACATGGCTGGGTGACCTAAACAAATCCACCAGCATAACTCATATTCTAGCATGAAGTGAATTGTTACAGACCCAGTAGATTAATTTATAGCTTTCAGGCAGAACTTTCAAACTAACAAATGCTGAATATGAAACTGCTAGATAGGAAAAGCCAATTTGGTTGAGAATCTGGTTCCATTTAAATTTGTCTCATCCTCAGAGCTGCTTCTTTCACTAAATTCTTCCTTCTCCATTAAAATGGAGCTGCTCTCTTAAATTTGGAATTGTTTGAATGTCCTCACCTTAGTTAGAAATGCATTGCACATTTTCTATTCACTGAGTGCAAGTGTTCTGCTTGAATAAGCTGAGTACACTCACTCCTGCAACTGTGTCCCCTGGTTTTCTAGCTCTTTTGTTGTGATTCATTTATCTTGTTCCAATTTATAAAGTGCTTTCATAATACTGAATGCCTACACTAGGTCAATATATAATCTGCTCTTCTTGAACAGAGTCAGAGGCTAATGCCCTCCCAGCTCTATCTCACAATAAATATTTTTTACAATGTAGAGATTTAACATGTCCCAGTATGCACATTTCCCAACAGAGATCCCAGAGTTAGGAGGCTGAGACCTATGATAGATATTCCACTGCCTCCATCATATCTCCCTCAACATATGAGAAAACACACATCAATATTCACTCATTGAACCCCATATAGAGACAGGCCCCCAGTTTGTGGTGTTGGTTTGTGTCACAGATGAGAAGGATGGTTTCAGTAACACACATTAATCCACATACAATACAAATAGGTTGGCCAGGCAGTCCAGGCTGCCCTCTCATCTGCAGAGATGGTCCAGCAGCAGTGGGATTGAAACAGATTGGCAAAACCACACAGAAACTTTTGCTGTTACTTCTTACCCTCTGTGGACCCAGAAAATCAGGCCAAGGTTCACCTTTCACAAGATCTTCATTCACTTGCATCATAGATACACAAGTTAAAGACAAAAACATTAAGAACCATACAGGTTTTCTTCTCTTTTCATGTACTTAGATGTTTATCTCATCTCTAAACAGCAAGGGGGCCGAGCTGTTATTACTGCTAGAAAATGTCTCATTTTTTTGCTGACCAGAAGGATGTAGAAGACCTCAGCAGAGCAGCTGGGTATGGTTCTGACAAATAGTCCCATCTTTTTCCTGAATGATACATTGTAACTGTTGAGGAACACTTATATTTTAATCAGTAAAGAAAATGAAATGTCTGACCTTTCCATTTCCTGTGCAAGCTTACAGACAATAGAAAAGATAATTAAAACTGCGAATTAGAACTCGCAAAACAGTGCCATTTCTCTAGCAAAGAGAAATAGCTGTGTAATAAAGGTCACTTATCAAACAGTTCTAGTTATTAAATCTTTGCATTTAGCACTGAAGTAGCTTCACAGAATCAAAGGTCAATTCATTAAATAACAAAATCAGCCAGAATTAGAAAAGGTCACAAGCAAATCCAACTAAAGTAGGTCACAAAACATGATTGTCTTCCACACAGGATTTCATTATTTGGAAAATTGTTTACTTTCCAAATTTGACAACTCCCCCACCACTTCCAGTGTCTCCATCAGGAGACTGAAATTCCAGCTACAGAGCCATTTGTATGGGTAAGTTTCCCAATGGCTCAGATCTTGGATCACCAAGTTTCCCAGCCACAGCCCTGCACATCTGCTGAGGTCCATGTGGGGATGATCTCAGGCCAGGTCTCTGAACCACAAAATAACATCTGGACAGACCAGACACATGCCAAGCTCTGCTCTCAGCAGAGACTGCCATATTCACTCCTCAGCAGGACCAAGCCCAGCTCAGGACCTCTGCAGATGGAATTTCCACTAATGAAAAGCTGAATTTCTCTTGTGGCTCCTTAGCACTATAGACCAGTGGTGCTCTCTCTCCAACCACCAACTCTGTTCCACTCTGAATCCCACAACTAATCACGCAGAGAGTTAGGAAACTCAGACTAAACTTTCTCAATTGTTACTTTAACAATATGATTGTAATTTTGTAAATTGGACGCGATGCCCATTCACTACATAATGAGGCAATTATTAGCAGCTTGCCACATATTAATTTGCTCCTTTAATGTTGAAACAAATGAGATCTTTTCTTATAATCATCCTATTTGAGTGAATTCTAACAAAGCCGATTGAACAAAGCTCCAGAGAGACTTCTTTATTTCAATGCCATTTATTCTTCTACTCTTCTTGGATGTTTCAGAGGATACAACATTTATAATGATGCCAATAGGGAATAGATTTTGCCTTTATTCTTCTTGATAGTCTTTTGAGGTCTTTGAAATGAAAGGTACAAGAGAGGCATTAACCGTCTGGCATTGTTTTTATTGCTTTTCTCTACTTTACAAGCAAAAAATGTATTTTAATTTTTCCTGTGTTTCAGTGATTAAACAAGCTGGTTTTATCTACACTACTCAATTTCTTCAGACCTCTGATTGGGAGAAAACACTTGCAAAGCTTCTCTAGGAAAAAATTCAGCACATTAAAGAAAAGAAAGAGAATTTGTGTGTTCAAGCAGCAAGCACTTCCAAATTAGTACAGAACTGTATATAACTTACATTATATTACTAACATCAAGCAAAAAATGATAAAAATTATAAAAAAGACAAGTCAGATTACTCTGAGTTTGTGTTTGTTCCCTATTCCCCCCTATGGCAGTATTGTGTTTTTTTTACCTTCAGCAGTTGATTTTGGTCCTAGCCCTCAGCATCACATCCCAGCAAACATGTCTTCATAAAATTTAATGTTAAGATTTCATAAAGATTTTAACATTTTAACATTATTTTGAAATAAGCCCAATGTCAACATGCATCCCATTTCTAAATAAATAAAATATGATCTGATTCTTCATAAGATTGTTCCTGAGACTCATGTGCCTGGGATATTTTATTTAGATGAATGTCACTGATATGTACAGGAGTTCTAGTGGAAAGTTTTTATTTAAATTGAATGAAGTGGAAGGTATAGGAAGCACATAATGGGACTAATCTTACAGCAGGAGACTGAATAAATAACCATATTTGAAAGTCTTTCTATACACACTGACCTAGTTGTTACAGAACTGTTTGATTGCAGATCTTGTTAGAGCTCCTTAAAGAGGCTGTACCAGCCTGTACAAGCCCTTTGCTTGAACAAGTATCTTGTGGATCCCTCATGTCAGTGGCAACCAGACAGAAAAACAAAGCAAGTTCAGACTTTGGACAGAGGTTGTAACTTGTGGGCCAAAGTCACTCACCCCATCTAAACTTTCAACCAGCAAGTATACTTTTGAAGCATCTTAATTTTCTTTCTCATGGAAAGGAAAAAAACCAAGCCAGAAACTCAAACCT